ACCCCATGTGTTCGACAATATACTTCACGGCGGCGGAAGAGCGTACGTACTGTCGCAACTTCCGGTCTGCTCTCGTCGTTAAAGCGTTAGGTCGGTCAGTGTCTTACACGGCAGTTTCACTCCGGTTGAACACGATATGGGCCAAGGCAGGCGGGATCCAAGTCACGTCCATGAAGAACAACTATTTCCTGTTCCGCTTTACTAGTGGCCTTGACTACGACCGGGCGTTCATGAATGGTCCATGGATGATCGGACAGAACTATCTCTCAGTGCATATGTGGGACCGCGATTTCGACCAGTACAACCATGAAGTCTCCTCGACCCTAGTTTGGGCCCGGTTGCTTGAAATACCCATTCAGTATTTTCATGAGGATGCTGTGATGAAAATTGGTCGTCGCATCGGAAGACCGATTCGAATTGACGAGGCCACACGTACAGCAGCACGTAGTGACTACGCCCGAGTTTGTGTGCAGGTGGATCTCACGAAACCCCTGCTCTCGAAGTTTTACATTAAGGGCAAGAGGTACTTTATCCAATATGAAGGTTTGGAGAAAATATGCCTGCACTGCGGGACATACGCCGAGCGAGGTGCATGCTACTGTAGCCGAACGCAAGTGCCAATGGAAGCCGAAGCTGTTGAAACTGAACCCCCCCCCCCCCCCCGCCCTCGCAACCAGAGAATCTCTATGGGGAGTGGATGATAGCTAAACGTAAACCCCGTCCTTCCAAGAAAGAGGTGGGGAAAAATTCAAACCGGGGAGGATCGACCGTCGACAAAGTGCAAAAGAGGGCAGGGGGATCGCGGTTTGCGGCTTTGGACGAGGAGTCCGACTCGCACATGGCGCCATCCGAGGCCGAGAATGATACCCGTGAGCCGAATAAGTCCAAGCAGCAGCGTAACCAAAGCCGGAATAAACACACCAAGGTGCATGAACAAGGAACACGTGCTTCAAAGGAGAGCGGTCCAACTAGTGACACCTACGAGCCAAACCCGAAGCCTACAAGTTGTGGGAAATGGGAGTCACTCAAGGTTGTCCAAGCACATTGAGACCGACCAGGCAATGCAGGAAACCCACACTCGCATGGAGGACGTGGTCTTGGAGAAGCTTCCCATGCAAAGTGGTGGGGAGTCACTGGAACCTCAAGTCCTTTCATCGATCACCACCGGTATGAATGGCCGCCCACCCGACACTGGCTCGAACATCCACCCCATGAGTTCCGGGTCTCCGGAAGAGAGCATGAAGACACAATTTTCGGGGAAACAGAGCGACGGGATCCACCCGTCGAACGCGTAACTTAAGGGAGTCTCTTTCCAACCCTCCTTTTTATGGATTATAAAATATTTTCATGGAATTGTAGGGGAGCAGGGGGCAAGGGTTTTTTACGTGCTTTTCGTGAGGATCGTAGGAAATTTAAACCCCAAATTGTGATTATCTTGGAACCTAGAATTAGTGGGGACCGTGCTTTGAAAGTCATTCGAGAAATGGGCTACGATAACGAACTTGTAGTTGATGCAATTGGTTTTTCTGGGGGAATTTGGATTAGTTGGAATTCGAATGACCTTACCATCACCAGAATTCACACTCACCAACAGTGTCTCCATATGCAGGTACAGGGGCGGATGCAGCAGGATATTGCATGGCAGCTATCGGCAATTTATGGTTGCCCTGCACCGGTACAACGGCGTGAGTTATGGGATTTTTTACGGTCTATTGCTGATGGGATGACCCAGCCCTGGCTTTTGGTGGGTGATTTCAACTCCATCATCAGCCCATCTGAAAAGCTAGGGGGTGCCCCGTTTGATGCATCCCGTATTCACGACTTCCAGGATGTAGTTCAAGATACCGAGCTGATAGATTTGGGGTTCGTTGGCCCGGCTTATACATGGTTCAAAACGGGTCTCCGAGAAAGGCTTGATGGGGGCATGGCAAATAATGCTTGGATCTCAGCTTTCCCAGAAACAGTGGTTAAGCACCTGCCGCGCATGAACAAGTCGGATCACAGGCCGCTTCTAGTTTCATTAAGAGAGTTCCACGCTCCCGCCGGACCCAAGCCTTTCCGGTTCTTGGCAGCCTGGCTTACACATGACGACTTCTGGGAAATGATGGATGAAGCTTGGGCAAAGGGCCACTCCTTCACGTCCTCGGCAGAGGCTTTCGCCCGAGATGCTAGAGTGTGGAACATAAATGTTTTTGGCCATGTTACTAGGAGGAAGGACAATCTACTTCGTCGTATTGAAGAGCTAGAGCAGAATGGTAATGGGACAGGGAACTCCGCTCAACTCCATCAAGCTCAGGAGAAGCTCGAATTAGTACTCTTTCAAGAAGAACTTCTCTGGTGCCAAAAATCCAGAGTCGAGTGGATTAGCTCGGGAGACAAGAACACGGCCTATTTCCACGCCAGGACCCTCAGGAGAAGGAGCAGGAATCGGGTGGCTATGCTGAAGGATGATGCGGGTAATTGGATCGAAGATCAGGCTCTGCTCCTAGAAATGGCACGGGTCTTTTTCAGCCAGCTATACATGGATGAGGGGGGGATCTACCTGCCCTCCAGGGGAATTTTCCAGCCCTCGAGCCCGCAAGGTGGCAACCGCTCGCGGCCACGCCGAATATGGAGGAAATTCGCGGTGCTATTCAGGCAATGGGCGCTCTCAAGGCACCGGGGAAGGATGGTCTCAACCCAATCTTCTGCCAAAAATGCTGGGAGACGGTCGGTCAGTCGCTTACGCAATTTGCCCTCGCATGCTGGGATAACCCGGAGAAGATCAAGGAAGTGAACTCCACAATTCTGGTCCTTATCCCGAAGGTGAAGCAACCAACCACCATCGATCAATTCGGGCCCATCAGTTTATGTAATGTGGCCTATAAAGCGGTTACTAAGTGCCTGGCATAACGCCTAAAGAATTTAATGCCCTCCCTGGTCCATGAAACCCAAACTAGCTTTGTCCCTGGCCGACATATCACCGATAACATTTGCATCTTGCAGGAAGTGATACATTCGATGAGGGCTCGAAGGGGAAGGAGAGGTTGGATGGTATTGAAGGTGGATTTAGCGAAGGCCTATGACCGGATAAGATGGGGCTTTGTCAAAGACACCTTAATTGCTGTAGGGGCCCCCAGTAATTTCGTTGACCTGACCATGGCGTGCATATCATCGGCTGCCATGCAAATCCAATGGAACGGGGGGCTTACGGAGCACTTTCAGCCTTCTAGAGGTCTTCGACAGGGGTGCCCTCTGTCCCCCTACCTGTTCACGCTTTGCATGGAAAGACTGGGGCACATCATTGATGAAGCTGTACCAGGGGGGGGGGATGGAAACCGATTCAGCTTTCGCAAGCCGGACCAGCACTCTCTCATCTCTTTTTTTGCGGATGATCTTATCCTGTTTGGGGAGGCGACCAGAGCTTAGGTGCAGGTGGTTAATGACTGTTTCGAGCAGTTCGGGGCCTCCTCGGGACAGCAAGTCAGTAGGCCTAAGTCTCGAGTGTTTTTCTCAGCTAACACCACCACTACAGAATGTCGGAACAGTTTGAGTGATGAGCTTCAGATCCCGGTCACTCAGAATTTGGGAAGATATCTGGGTGTCCCGGTCATTATGATCGGGTTTCGAAGGCCACTTTCCAGCAACTGATTGACAGGATAGACACCCGCCTAGCAGGATGGAAAGCGTACACGCTATCTTTAGCAGGACGGATCACTCTAGCTCAGTCAGTGTTGGCTTCTCTTCCGGCTTATACAATGCAGAAAACCTTCCTCCCTGCTAGTGTGAGGGAGTATATTGATAGGAAGATAAGAGCTTTTATCTGGGGTAGCACCGACCAGGGCCGCAAAATTCACCTCGTCGACTGGGAAACTCTTTGCGGACCGAAAGATGAAGGGGGTCTGGGGCTGAGGGAATCTACAAGAACCAATGAAGCCTACATGTTGAAAATTGCCTGGAGGATGCTCACTAAACCAGACGAGTTGTGGGCCAGGGTCATCCTCTCGAAGTACTCGAGGAATACAACAGATGGCAGGCACTTTATCACCACTGGGCGGCTCTCGAACCTCTGGAGAGGAGTGTTGCGGGTTGCACATTTAACGGAGGAGGCGACAGCGTGGAACGTGAGGAATGGCCTCACGGCCAAGTTTTGGAGCGATCGGTGGTTGGACGATACCACCACCCTCAAAGACCACGTGCAGAACCTTCCCCCGGCGCTGCTCAACATGCATGTCGCCGACTTTGTGCTCAATGGTAAGTGGAACACGGAGTTTCTTCAATACTACTTACCCCAGCCACTTGTTTTGCAGGTTTTGCTCCATCCTATCCCGACGGAAGCGGAAGACGACGTGCGGGTATGGCGATTTACCCCAAATGGCGAATTCACCTTGCGCACGGCGTATGATTTGACGGACACCGCGAACCAAACTCTTGGCCAACCAATCTGGCGATCGATGTGGAGAACGCCGACTTTGCAGAGAATCCGAGTGTTCCTTTGGCTGCTGAACCATAACCGGCTGCTGACGAACGCGGAGAGAGGAAGGAGGCACCTAACGACCAACACCAGCTGCAAAATCTGTGGAGGAGGCCCGGAAACGACGCTGCATGTTCTCCGGGATTGCCCCTACGCCCGCGCGACCTGGGCGGAGTTACTAGGAGAGGAGCCTGATTCACGCTTCTTCGAACCATATATACACAGGTGGTCTCTGTATTACATTTCTGATAAGAGTGATACCGTCGACAGCACTCTTTTTGCAGAGACATGTTGGCTACTGTGGAAGAATCGGAATGGCTACGTGTTCCGAGGGGAGTTGAAGACTCATACACAAATCTAGTTTCACGCAAAACAGCTCCGAGACCAGACCATTCAAGCACTCGAGAAGGAGGATATTGTTTTCGGAGGAGGGAAACTCCGAGAGCAGCGCCAAATTGGCTGGCAACCACCGGCGCAGGACTGGGTCTGTGTCAATACAGATGGCTCAGTCACCTTCTCTCCTGAGAGCACGAGCTGCGGCGGCATCATGCGGGGGAGTGATGGCCGTTTTCTCAAAGCATTCACTGCGAACCTTGGAGGGGGTTCAATCACTCGTGCAGAGCTGGCTGGTATTGTGTATGGGTTGGACCTCGCCTGGGAACAGGGAGTCAGGAAGGTGATTCTACAGACTGACTCGTCCACTGCAAAGAACCTGATAGATAAGGCGACCCCGAGACACACCCACTTCACTCAGGTCGCAGAGATCAGACAGAGACTTAACCGCAACTGGACCGTTAGGATTGATCATGTATTCCGCGAAGCAAATTTCGACGCAGATTATTTGGCTTCTGTGGGTCACTCCCGTTCGATTGGGGTGCATATTTTGGACAGGCCTGACACTAAATTTCTGTACTGGCTGTTGTTTGATCGTGTGGGGGGTGAAACTCCCCGCTTTGTTCGTGCTTAATAAAGGTTAGGGCGCCCTTAGCGCCCTGTTCTTACCAAAAATAAAAAAATAAAGAGGATAATATCTTACGAAAATAAAAACACTTAGTTATCATCTTTTACATCTGCCAACAATTAAGACCAAAGCTCATATCTAGTTATTCATTAAGCACATTTTGTTGGAAGTTGGAACCAATTCCTGACCCATCTCTTATCAATGGAATCGATAGTTAGTAAAACTCTGCTTAATACACGTATATATATCCGTACGTATTTTATCTGTTGTATTATTTTTATATTGTTTCATATTTTTCCGTTCATTTAATGACTCCCGTACTAAACACTTATAAAATCCATATAACATGTTTAATATTCGTATTTAATTAATTAAATTATTAACTTTACTATTATTTATATATTTATATTTAAAATAATTAATTTTATATATTTATGACTACTAACGTACTATTAAACATAAAATTCGCTTAGAGACGAAGTAAAATACTCGTACATATTTTCATAGCAGTCAAAATCGAGATTTTACGTAAAATCGAAAATCGGGATTTTAAGGTTCATATAAGAACGAAGATGGAATAATATTAATAAGAAAAATTATGAATAATATGTAAGTTTTAGCATGTGTTCATATTCTGAATTTATTTTGTAAATACATTCATCATGCAAATTATTAGAGATATTGTTAAGACTTAAGATACAACAACACTAAATCATTCATGATTCCACAACTCCTTATTCTGAAGTGTTTTTTTACTTTGTTTGTTGCAGTAAATGCTTTTTCAACACTTCCGATAGTAACAAACACCCCTGAATTTTGAGTTTTTATTTATATTAAACTCACTCACATAATATATGAATTAAAAGTTAAATAGAGATAACTAAGCATTATTTTTTTTAAATTATCTACGAAGGTCTTAAACGCAATCCATAATCATATAAACAAATTCATCCCATATTTTTTGGGCCAAGGTGGTGCAAATGACCCACTTTGGCCTCAAGTGGCTCCTCCACTGCTTACAATGATAATTTCTCAAAGTTAATGTTCCAATTTATCATGGTTAATTTTGAAAAGTGGTGAATCGATGTTGATTAATACGTTGATCGGAATGATAATGGTCGATAATGGTTAGTGTGAGAAAACTAGATAATGTTGGTGGAGGAGAAGTAAAAGGGCAATAATTTTACAAATTTTGGAATAAATAAGTAAAATTGACCCAAAAATTTGAATCGTCAAATCGTAAGATTTTAAAAATTTGTATCATGAATAGTACAATATTTTACGATCTATTGATTTTATAATGAGATCAAAACTGAAATAGATAAATAAAATCAAGATTTTAAATACTATATATATATTTTGTTGGTAACTTCCCCTTATCATATTTTACTAATTCTATGTCCAGCGTTGGCGATTCCTTCCTTATTCCATCGCCTTCGCTCTCTCTATCTCTCTCTTCGCCCATCAGAAATCAGAAGTCTCTAGTCCCCCAACCTTTCCTTCACCTGGCATTTACTCGGCGGTCTCCTGCGTTTGCGTTCTGTTCTCTCTTTTTCTGGGTTTAGCACTCTATTTCCTTCATCTCAAGCTTTTCGCCCCTATTGATTGCCTTTTATCCCGATTCTGGGAGAGGGGTTTCCGTTTTGTGTCTTTAATATCCCACCTGCCCCAATTTACTCCCTCGGATCTATCGGGCGGGCCGTAAGTTTTCTTGGGCGATACGCGAAAGCTGATGCTTATTTGTGAGTTCCCTTCCTCCCCACAATCTCCTTCAATAGGAGCTTCTTCCTTTCATCTTTGATGGCGTTGAGAAAGTCTGTATTTTGTCCTGGGTAATAACCTGTGAATGTTCCCCTCTCTGTAATGCAACGTCGCCTTCTAGTTGCAAATCGCAGTTGGGATGAATCTAATTGCTTGTGGGATGTGGGGGAGGGGTTGATCGCTTTCGTGATTTCATTTGGGGATTGGATGCGGAATGTGGTTACAATTTGATTCTATGGCATGTGTATAGATTGAGTTTGGGATGAATCTAATTGATTTGGCTCTAAGCCTTTGAAGAGCTTTCTGGGTTCTTTTTATTTTGATGGAGACTTGCAAGCTCTGCGGATGGTGGACCACGTTGATGAATTTCATTTGATTGCTGTCTCGTCTTTTTCCTTTGTTTTTGTTTATATGTTTTCAGCTTTTCCAAGAGAAATCTCTGTGGACTTCTTGTTCATCTGTATCTTGAGCTTTGTTTATTTATTGCCATTGTTCCAAAGTTCTCAATTGAATAGGAAAAAAAAATCAAAATTGTTGCAAGGTTTGTTCAGTTTCATTACGATCGTCTTGGTGCCCATAGCAATAGGTGGTTTTCCTGTCTGCTGTAATTTTCTCCAGTTTCTGTTTCATTGCAATCGACATCTGTTGCTTTCAGGCTGTTCAAACTGTTACAGATGCACCTTCCCAATGCTCTTTACATTCATCTTGTGTTACATTACTGCTGGTTTAGTCTATGGCATTCCATTCAATTTGACTTGGCCATTGATTTCATGTCTGTCAGGAAAGCATCTGAAGGATAACAGTGATAAGTTAGGATACAGTTACAACAAGTAATATCAATTGAGATACAACAACGTATCTGATTTAACTGGCAATGGTGACCGTTCCAAAGGAGACTGTTATGGCGATTGAGGCCTACCGTAGTCAGGCTAAGGTGCTGGTTAAGAGTTACTTATTTGCAGATCCTTTTGTTCCATACACCTCTGTCCTTGGCGGAGTAATTGCTTGCAAAGTGGTATGTCATCCTTACTTCATAATAGATGCCCCCGTCCTGTTTTAATCTTTGAATGTTATTGTTTATTGATTATGTGGCCTGTGCTTATGCTGAGATTCGATTTGGATGTTGAATTTGATGACTTTCCTTCTAACAGGTCTATGATCTAACTCAGTTAATTAGCACGTTTTACATCAAGGCGTACACTGGGCTTACGAAAATACAAAGAATTGAATGGAACAATCGGTCAGGGCATATCTAATTCTGGCTTTCCATTATCCTGTCAATATCGTTGGTTAGTCCTTACCTATCAGTGACCCAATTTTTGCAGGGGGATGTCTTCATTGCACGCCATCTTTATAACAGCTTTGTCGTTGTACTTTGTATTCTGGTCTGATCTTTTTTCAGACAAAGTGCATACTGGTTATGTCACTCTACGAAGCTCACCTTTATCCATATTTGGACTGGCAGTAAGTGGCCTTTCTCCTCTTTTTAACCCTGACATTGATCTTTGACGTCTATCAGTTGTTTGTGCTTGGGCATCACAGTGCTGATCTTTCTGGAAATGACTTTTTATTATTAGTTTGTACCTTTTTGGTAATAGTTTGTGAGTGGCTTCACATATGGTTGTTCTTCTGTCTTCGAAAACTTTTCAATGATTCATCTGGTATCTTTATTTTCTGCACCGAATGATATTGTTGTCTATCCTGTTTGGAAGTATAATGAAGCAGTTTATTCAAAGTTCTTATGCATTGACAATTTATTATCACGTAGCTTAGTTTTTCTAATATGCTGATCAAAATGTTTTCTGGAAATGCTCTTCGATAGTGGTATTTGTATGTAAGGCTGATCTCTGCTATGACTTCTAGATTTCGGGTTTAGTCAATGTTTCTCATGTCATATCTGCTGAGGGTTGGATCTTTTTTGCTTACCTGTTAGGGCATTTCCTTTCCTTTGATAAATGGAAAAAACAAAGTTAGGACAGAAAGAGTGACTGATGTACCTGTTTAGCTAGTTTCTTGTCATTGGTGTCATGTATTCTGTAGAAAAACTAACTCTGGCATGTTATTGACTTTCTCTTCATTTGACAGGTTTCTGTTGGATACTTCCTTGCAGATCTTGGGATGATTATTTGGCTTTATCCTTCTTTAGGTGGAATGGAATATGTAAGGAAATTCTTTCTGTCTCTTCTTCCACTGAATTTGTTTGAATTTGACAAATTCAATGCACTAAAGTCAAAGTTTTTGCTTGGTGGTAATGTCCCATTGCTCCCTGCAATTCTCTGATATATTAATGAATGTTTTCCTTCCGTTTAGAAGTATATATACATCACGTATTCATGTTTTGTCCAATACTGGTATCAATGGTTTCCCATCAGAATGAGGTTGCGTTGTGCAATATGATGTACTAATTATATTGATCGCTCTGTTTTCTGTACAATTCTCATCACTTGTAAATATTAAAGTCCAAGACAAGACTCTTCAACTCTGCAAATGAACTTTTGACGTGCTGGTTCGTAAATCTATTGTTGAGGGAGAGCTAGCTCGCTCATTAAACTTGTGAACATTGTTGGTGTTTATGTAAGTCTAAAAGAGTAAGAGAGAACATCTATTGAAATGAAAAGCATGGCTCCTGATAATACGATGATCGATAGAAGTTATAACTCTTTGAATAATGGCATCTGGTTTCAGGTTGTTCATCACTGTCTTTCTGCAATAGCGGTTGCATATTCTATGTTATCCGGAGAAGGGCAGCTGTATACATATATGTGCCTCATCTCTGAAGTGACCACGCCAGAAATAAACATGAGATGGTAAGTAGCTCTTTTGATAAGTCCTTTCTGACTCCCAGACTTCCGAAATGGCAAAAAGCAGTGAACATTTTAGGACTTCAATCATGTGAACTCTTTTTATAGGTATCTGGACATATCAGGTATGAAGCGGTCAACTGCTTATCTTGTAAATGGTGTTCTGATCTTCCTCTTTTGGTTGGTGAGTAAAAAACCCTTTTTCAAGTTTGCTGTGCAAGAGGGATGTGTTTTTCGAACGAATCGAAGGCGTTGATTTGGGTTTCTATCTGAACTTTGTCTGGCACCTGCAGATTGCCAGAGTGCTGCTCTTCTTTTACATCTTCTACCACATCAACATGCACTTCGATCAGGTGCGGGGATCCATTATCTTACTTTCTGCCGCGTTGTTGGTGCTAAAGCGAGAAAGACATTATTCTAATACCTGAAGCTGCTTCTCATTTGTTTATTTTTACATTTCCCCCACGGGAATTGGCAGGTTCTCCAGATGAGATGGTTTGGATGCCTGGTGGTTGTGATGGTGCCATCAACATTGTTTATAATGAACTTGATGTGGTTTTCCAAGATCATCAAGGGCTTGATGAAAACTGTAGCCAAGAGGCAGTGAGACATACACAGAGACAGAGACGGTATATAGTTCCATCATCATCGTCGTCGTGGTCATAGTCATTTGTATGTGTGCAGGCACAGACTAGAGGTATTTTACAGAGGGTATAAACGATGGTTATTGGCGGTAATTAGGTTTACATCAAATTAGAAACGGGGTGGGGATTGGAAATGGGTGGTTGTATATGATGTATGATTCAACAAATGTCTTTTTTCCTTTGTTCCTTCCTTCCTACCTCTTCTTGGGCTAATCACCCTTTACACAGTTGCACACGCGACGTTTCCTTCTACCCCAATCTGTATTCTGGAGTTTTGAGTTGAGAGGGGGAAAATGGCGCAAATTTGTTGGGGTTTGCCGCAACGTTGTTACATGGTTTCTAACCTTTCTGATGATCCGAGCTCAAGAGTTTGTCGAATGTTCGTAGGACGGCGTAGTTTTGGACGTGTTCGTTAAGGTGACGCATCATCACAAAACAAAACGTTTTTTGACGATGAATGTTGGTGTAAAATCACTTAAGTACGCTAACGATGTTTCCCCGAAAATTTCGAGTCGGTGAAAATTCTCCCAAGTTATAGCCTACCATACGGTCTGTTATATAAACATGTAACTTATATAAACATGTAACTGCTTTTTTCCATTATGGATACCAATCATTGTGGGTATAATAGTAGATGCCGGGGACCATGTTACTATGATTTCTTTTTCTGCCTTTATATTAAGCTTATTTATTTTTATTAATAAATGATTTGCTACAAAATGATTTTTTTCTAATGAACGTGTCACAGTGAATTTCTCCTTTTTTTTTTAAAACGAGGAAGAAACAAATTCGATTTTCTCTCCTATTTACTACGATGACGTAGAATCAAATTATGACTCAGCATGTCTGTTAGCCACGTCAGCACAACATTGACGCCGTTAACAGAAGTGGACGGAGACTAACGGAGAGTGACCAAACTTGGATGGTTAAACTAAATCTAGTGACCATGAATGAAATTAAATATTTACAGTGATCAAACATGAACGTTTTTTGTAATCCCAGTGACCAATCTTGCAATTTATCCATATTTATTCCTTTTTCTACTTCTTCTTCCAAGTGTAGGATAATCCCAAAGGGTTGCAGGTTTTTTTCTACCAATTGGGGCCCTCCCTTCACCACCCTCATGGCCCCATGGGGATGGTCTATAGGATTCGTAACTACTCCTTTTACTACAGGACGCTTGTCTAGCCAACATTTAGATCCGGCTCTACCCAAACTTTTCTGGTTCACCCCAACATTTCCTACTTGTCCGACTGTTGCTGAGCAGTTTTTGGATATTAAACGCACCTCCCCATAAGATAATTTTAATGTTGTCGATTTCCCCTCTTTTGCAATAAGTTTTGCTACAGCACCTACAGATCTAGCTAAGGAACAAGCCCAACTTCTGATGCAGGCATACTGTAATGCAACCGAAAACTGGTATTAACTATTAACTGGCAAAACTGAAACCTACTCATTGACTGACAGTCCCGAATGGGGGAACTGAATCTACCATAGAGCTGCTACGACCAGCCGGCTGCAAATGCAATGGTAGCTCAACTGCATAAGCACTATCCTTACCGTCATTTGATTTTACAACCGACTTGGCCATGATTTGAACAAAAGACAGTCCTCTTGTGAACTCATTCCCTGTCAGCGCATTCTGACGGTTTTATTTTCTTTAATTTTTAGTTAAAAATTATCATTTTAGCAAGAAACTGTTTTCCCCCTAATAAGACCAATATCCATATATTTTGCCATATAATTTGAGATGTTCTTTTCAGGGGTACTACATGCATCGCATTCACGACATGCGCTAAAATTATTTACGGTATGTGTTCAATTAGAGTGTTCACACCACGTGTTCTATGAGGATATTTACAAATCACAACATGTGTCAGCAATATCCACAATATGTTTGAAGCATATTAATAACAAAAGTTAAGAAAATTCACATATTGGGATTAGATACGGAGTCAGGATTTGAAGTTCAGGAGGGGACTGAAATTTTTTACTACATATTATCGTAAAAATATATATATATATATATATATATATATATATATATATATATATATATATATATATATATATATATATGGTGCCTTCTATGGTACCCCGGGTGAAATCCGGGGTACCGCATACCTTGAGTATGAAAACGCTATATAGACCTCGAATTAGCAGGATTTTTGGGCATGATACTATACCCTAACCCTTAATGAGTGAACCCTAGGTCCTAATTATCCAGATCATAAACTATAAACCCTAAGATGGTGCATTGATTTTTTTGCCTATATTTGGACGAATCATAACCGTCGATTATTGTTTCTAATTAAATTGATCTTGGGGTATAAGATTTAGAGAATTAAGACCTAGGTGTTGATCTTTAAGGGTTAGAGTATAGTTAATGTCCGAAAGATCAGTCAATTCAAGTTCTGGATAGCGTTTTCTTACTCAAGGTATACGGTACCCCGGATTTCACCCTGGGTACCGTAGAACTCCCCATATATATATATATATATATATATATATATATATATATAAATGTCACCACACATTTTTATTTAAGATAATTATAAGCACTACAATGTAGGATTAAATTACATTTTTAGCAACAATATGTTCAACAATGAAACAAAATACATGATTTTGGCGCACCTTAAGAGTGACACTCTCCCCTTGGGAAGTGAGGGTGTTGCCACTTCCAATCGTCCTACTTTTGGATAATCAGCCTCCAATTGTTGTGTACGGCTCGTTCATAAGCAAAAATACAAGGAATCCAATGATTGGCCGAAGATAAGGCTCATCGCTTATGAGAACACACATATTCTATGCAAACATGGTCTTGCAATGTGCATGTCACCTAGCATTAGTTGTTTTGCTCTCCGTTGTTTGAGTTAGGAGAATCTTTGCTATGAGCTGCAACCTCTTCTGTTGCAGCTTAAACGACTTGGTTTTGCATTCAAGAGAACCGTTAGGCATACCTTTCGAAGGTGCTTGCCTTAGGTTGATGAGATGGCACGCTTGCTCTCTCTGTTTTCCTTCTCCTTTCTTTTCCGTTAAGTACCATGAACCAAGAGGAACTAGCCAACTGTGCATGGATCATTCCAACGATCGAGGTGTATTCGTTCTACTCTTCCTTGTTAGGCCAATGGGAAAATTGGCCCCTTTAAAGTGTGGGGTGAGTTTAGTAGATTGCACTTCATGGATCCACCTCGACATATGGGTTACAATTGTGTGTGCATTATTGCGCATCATAAGAATTTAAAATTGTTCGAAATAATGTCACACTCCCCAAAGCAATTCCAAAACTTATCTTACTTTGAATTGCTAGTATCTACATTAATACGTGATCTATGGAGGCTAGTATAGGGGCTATGAAAGTTGTCCTCATCATGAGACTAAAGACTATTCGAAATGTTTGGATACAATAACTATCACTAACCTTTGTGAGTTCTTATACTCTTCCAACGGGTCTCATGCTTTAAAACCTTTATTGGGGTCGAACGGTATCTTTATATACATCCAAAAATTCTACTCGACAAAGTCGTATAAAAGATTCTAACTTTACAAATAAAGGTTGGGGTAAAGTATACCACATGTGAGCCAATCACTTATTGCAAAGAGAGAATAGGAACGATTCAATTGAGCATCGGTTCGCAGTCATACGATGTTGCTTATCTAATGCAATCTCTCGCCGAATAAAATGTAGTTTGAGAAATATGCTTATAGGGCACAGATAGGGCTTCCAACAACCATCTATAACATTGCCTCTCCACACAATAGAGGAAAAAAAAAGAGTTAAACAAAGCCCTTATGTAGTGCTAAGGTGCGGAAATTGATCTTACTTGATCAAGCCTACGATGTACCCATGTAAACCCACTTCAGCTACAAAAAGCATAAAAATCGACATGCTACTCGTAAAGAGAGGACATAAAAATCTCATTGTCAAATAAAGGAAAAGATGTGCTTAAACTTTCAAATAAAGCTTGCAAAAAGCTTCACCCAAATGTTTTTTGACTCTCGAGTTGAGTTAAGAGCTTATGATTGATAGAGATTGGCCAGATTGTCATTATGAGATATGCACCTCATTGATCTGGTCTAATTTTTTAAGTGCGAGGGTTGACCATGTAAGTTGCTTATGATTCACTATCTATGATATAAAATCATGTGTCATCTTAGACGTATAGTGAGATGTACGATTATGAGTCTAGGTGTCAATCGGGCGGGTTCGGGTCGGGTTCAGTCGGGTCGCGGGTTAATCGGGTCGCGGGTCAAGCGGGTTCGGGTTGATTGGGTTGCGGATTGATCGGGTTGCGGGAAAATCGGGTTCGGGTCGATCGGGTTGCGGGTCGATCGGGTTGCGGGAAAATCGGGTTCGGGTCGATCGGGTTCGGATTGATCGGATTGCGGGTTACAACAGGTCGGGTTGCGGGTTGTTCGGTCCAAACCATCAAGTTTTTTTTAATTAGTTATTACACTAATTTAAAACAAACTCACCAGTCACCATTTTGCAATGAGGCTGGGCCTGGGTTCACGCAACCATTTTGTATTTTCCCTTCTTAACTAATGTCAATTCATTAAAGAATTAAAAAAAGATATTATTAATATTATATATATTTTTTGTTACAAAAAAGGAGGTTGGGAGGGAATTTTTGCCTTTGGACAAAATATAGTGCGAGGGATTTAAAAGTGTTTTGCGGGTTTGGGAGGGAATTTTGGACCAAATCTTGGGCGGGGTTTTAAAAGTTCTTTTGTGGGTATGGGGAGGGAATTTTGGGACAGATATTTGGGGATTGAATTGTTGAATTTTTATTCAAAAAATTTCCCTTAATTTTTTGGTGAACATTTTGTTCTTCCTTTGATATTTATTATTATAAATGATAAATTGTATACCGATTAACAAGTTTGTTGTTCGATACGTTGGTCGGGATGTCATTTGAATATGATATATGTACGATGTACATTCACAAGTTTTCAAAATGTTTTAAATGCGTTTTTTACTAAATAGCTAAATTAATTGTTAAAACAGATTAAATAATAAAATATATAAACCAAAATATCTATCAAAAGCATAACCATGAAGAAATCCTAAACCCTTATCCTATAACACCATCAACCATACATTACCCTAAAACTAACCTCAACCCTTTACCATAACCCAAACACTAAACTCTAAACCATGACCTTATACCCTATACACTAACCATAAACGATGAACTATAGTTATATGTTATGAAATTATTCGTATAAACTATAACGTATGTTATGTGAAGAATGTAAGATAAGTCAATTTAGATTCGGTTATTGAGAAGAACATACGTCCTAATCCTCCTAACTCTAAACCACGAGTACATGACCGTATACCCTATGCACTAACCTTAAACCATGAACTATAGTTATATGTTATGAAATTGTTGGTATAAACTATAACCTATGTTATGTGAAGAATGTAAGTTACGTCAATTTTATATTCGATTATTGAGAAGAACATACGTCCTAATCCTACTATTTTCGATATGGTAGAACTTAGTAAGCAAATTGTTATGTGTCTTCTTATGATTGGAGTTAGGTTATGAGTTATGACTGATGTACTATTACGAAACTTCTTATGTTAGGTTAATATTTTGACAATGTTAAGTGACTAGTTATATTATGTGTGGAAGAAAAATGATGTAATTATTAGGTAATGATATATGATTGGTTTAATTAAGTCAATCATGTTTTTCATATGTATGTGTGTTATCTATATATATTATTTATACACACCAACCAAACACTAAACGAATTTGTGTCGGTTTTGGACAACCGCTGAAATAACCGTCATAAATCATATTTATGTCGATTCAAAATCGAGTCAATTCATTAAAGAAAAAAAAACACATTTTTTATTTTAATTGTAACATTTGTCTCGGTTGACTAACCAACTCAAATCACCACTTTTTTTATAAAAAAAATTGTCCGGGCCAGACGCATCTAGTCGCCGGCCTGTTTCAATCTCCGTTAATCTATCCACCCGCCAGGCTTGTTTCTTTCTCACGAAAATCCAGCCACCACGACGAATCTGCATCCACCCTCCTCGTCGTTCACCTCACGCAAATCACCCACTTTGGGTCTCAAATCCTCCCCACCGGCCATTTTGCGTCTCACGCCAAATAAATCTGGCTCTCCGCTGGATCTTCGCCGCCTGGCTCTGGATCTCCAACGGATCTTACAAGCTGCCTCTGACCGTTCTTCTGTAGAGCATGTCGGAAACCCAGAATCTCAAGCTTGCTTCTCCAGAAGCAATCATCTTTCTATATTGTTCGGAAACCCAGAATCTCCTGCTGTCTTTGCAAGCCATTGGACCCAGAATCTCCAACTTCTCTCAATTCGCCAGCGGCCCTCCCCTGCTTTCCTCCCCTCTTTCTATGAATCCCAACATGGTTACAGAAAAGGAACCACCAGATCCAAAGAACACAAGGGCACCCACAAACCCAGGCACATAGAAAACAGCATCCCAAACCCAGCTCACCCTCGCTCAAGCCCTTCATTTTTCCTCCTCCCAGCCACTTTGCCACCGCCTCCACAACCCCCTGAGTTGCGCCGCTGTGGCTTCTAGTGTGGCTTTACCACCATATGAAATCAATTAAAACTGGACCCAACACATGCTTGGCCTTCATTTTGTGGAGAAGAAGGAGACGAATCGCCAAATCGGGACACTGGTGGAGACTAAGAAGCCTGCGATGGGAGATTTTTAGGTTGAGGTGGTACTGGTCGTCACCATAGATAGAGTAGAGGGGAAATTTGTGGAGAAAAGAAGAACAGTGAAGAGGGAAGCGACTAATCAGATTAGGGAAAAAGAGAGACGGATAAAAATCTAAACAAGGCACATTGGGAGGGAAATCTCCCGCTTGGGAAATTTTGGCCATGATTGAAATATTGAGAGCCAATTTGGGTGGGAAGGGGGTATTTGGGCGGGTATGTGAAAATATTTTAGAGTCAATAACCCCAAAAAATTGAAATTGAACTTTGTGCCAGTTAAGAAACGACTCAATTCGAATAATTGTGTTGGTTTTGGCAGACTCAAATGTTAACCGACACAAATATTAGAGAATTGTGTCGGTTGCAGATTTAACCGACATAAATAGCAAAAGAATGGCATCGGGCACTTACCCGACTCAAATAACCGACAAAAATTCTAAAATTTGTGTCGTTTAAGTTAACCAACACAAAGCAACCGGTGCAAAACATTGTTTTTCTTGTAGTGAAATGTTTATAACCCTTCTAGGATTTTTATTTATCTACTAAGACAGACAATGAGACTATTATAGTATTATGTGGTTCAATTTAATGGCAATTGGCAATACAAAGTAGAGCTTTATTCTTGGTGGGAAAGATGAAAAAATAACAGGGCAAAGTCAGGTAAACTTTATATATATATTATCTACATATAATATTTATGCACTAAAATATATTAAGTAGTATTATTCGTTCTAATCGGCTGGGTTCGGGTTGGGTTAATCGGGTTCGGGTTAGTCGGGTTGCGGGTCAAGCGGGTTGCGGGTTAAGCGGGTCAATTGGGTTCGGGTCAAGCGGGTTGTGGGTTAATCGGGTTGCGGGTTAATCGGGTTACGGGTCATTCGGGTTGCGGGTCGGTGACTTTTAGTCCATTCGGATTGCGGGCGGGTTGCGGATCGGGTTGGTTGGGCGGGTTACTCGGGTCGGGTCATATTTTGACACCTATAATTATGAGTGTGGTTTGCTTGGGGAGAAGCAAAGTTCAAGTGTGAGGTTACTTGATAACACATAGAAAGACTATTTATACCCTTTATTATGGCTAGAATTGAATAAGTTTCACATTTTAAGTGCCATAATCACTTGCATTTGCTTAATAATCACTTAAGGTGTGCTTTTGTAGCTCTAGTATTGTTTTTACTATTGTGATGCACTTTTGCTAGTGTTTCTTGTGCTTTCAGGTCAAAGCATCCTAGTGGAACATCTTGTACGAGTAAGTGAACATCAAGACCCAACTACTGGAAATCATAATGCAAGAATGGATCAAGCCCAAGAACCGTCATGGGATTCAGTGGACCAAAGCCCAAAATGGCGCCTTGTTCGCCATTTTAGGGGGGTCTCTAGATTGAGCCTAGAATCTCAACAAATATGCCAATTGTGGTGGCCAAGATGGAAGAGACCCAAACAAGCTCGAAAAACGTGTTCTAGGCTGACCTTTCCTCCAAAAAAAAAATTGATGCATAGGCCTATAGATAGACCCCTAGGCATAGAAATTAAGGGGTATGTGGTAGGAGGCATTAGAGGGTCGTTAGTGAAGCCGAACTCAGAAGTTGAATCAGTGGCAAAAGGTGGTCTTGCCGCTGATTCATTGTTCTGGCCGCCTATGTAGAGGACAATTTGAGGGTCTTGTTTTGACTGATGTTCTCCTAGAATCTCGTGCCCATGAGAGGCTAGTTTCTTAGTTGTGTAGGTTTCCAAACCCTAGAAGTTCATTGATTATGTAACTCTTGGTTTTGATATATATGAGTACGATTTTATCTATCCTTTCTCGGATAATTAGCATAAATGGTATCAAACCTTTGCACTTAGTACAAAACGGTCACAAACCTTTAATTTGTAACAATACGGTAACAAAACTTTGAAATTGTATAAAATGGTCACTGCTATTTAATTTGTGGCCGTTTTGTTTTATGTGCAAAGGTTTGTTACCGAATCGTTACAAATTAAATGTTTGTCATGTTTTGAGGTCGGGTTGTTTGTTCGTTAAGTATATGACACTAACCACTTGAACAACATATAAGATGTCAGGTCATGTGTTCATCGGCATATTTGCTTTGCCGAAAAAGAATGCCCTCAGTTGACCTTTCAATTTCGATACCAAGAAAGTAAGAAAGTTAAAAGTAGACATAGTTTTTTCAACTAAAAAGCAGTCTGGAACCCGTTTGTGAGCCATTGAATTCTCTCATTGTCATCATTTATGACGATCATATCATTCACATACATTAACAAAACCACCATACAACTAGAGCAAATTGTAACGGTGATTGATCGTTCAAACTTTTGAACTTAATGTGTACAAAACGGTCACCAAAAGTCTAATTTGCAACGACACGGTAACAAAAGTTCGAACTGATATGAAATGGTCACACTGTTTAATTTGTGACCGTTCTGTTCTAAATAAAAAGTTTTGTTATCAAAAGGTTACAAATTAAAGGTTTGTGACTGTTTTGTACTAAGTGCAAAGATTTGTGACCATTTATGCTAATTACCCATCTTTTCTCTTTCATTTCTTTGTTTGGTTTGTTGTTGATGTGATTGCATACGTAATATGAGGAATATCTTCAAACGATATATCCTTAAATCTGGCTTCGTGGGTTGATGAGACTGGACACGATAGTTCCTCACGATTGATTCTCAATCAATCAATCAATCAATCAATCAGCATCGACTTACTTAAAGGACATATTTGTGGGATCCATGTTGTTGCATATTAGTCCTGATAAATGCCAAGACACATGGTATGAATCAACCTAGCAATGCTCCAGTAGCTCATATGTTGAGGATCAAGGTTGCTAGTCAAAGGAACTCTAAGGAAGTTTGACTACGTAACTCCTCACCTACATTATTTGAAAATTCATGACAAATGTGTCATTTACACTTAATTGCAGGCCAAGATAGAATATTACTGCTAAATCGTCATAGTGGAGATAACAATGAGCTATCTTCCTGTTGAGACCACAACGGGGCTATTGAATATTTGCATCCGGCTCACATTATTATTTATGATATAACAGCGTAAACAGGACGAGCACGGACGTCGTCGGAGACTCACAATCAGCAACCCAGGTAATAGAAGTATATAACAAAAAGAAAAAGGGGGGAATTACAATGGTCTTCGCATTTTGTCCGGGATACCCATGTGTACTTTAAAGGATACTACACAGATAAAGCAAACACCAGAATCACTCTGATTCTGTTCTTTCACCGAGTTTCCAAATCAAGCATTCATGTACACGTCTTAGCACACGCCATCCAACCGATCAATCAATGGGATTACAATACGATTCAGCATTCACTACCAGAAGATTAGCCACTCAGAAGGTACATATTGGAGAAACTGAAACATCAGCATTTTATGAACAGCAGGTCGCACTAGCTGCCCTTTCAGCGGGTCTATCCGTGAGAACCATCCCAGCGGGGTTCTGTGAAGGCTGAACTCGTGGTAGTCTTTTCGCTGCAAGCAAGAAGATACAGTGTCAAAACAATCAATAGAAAAACATGGCAACAAACAGATATGCAGTCACCGGAACAAGGTGCATGGTCATTTTTAACTCTATTTAACAAATTCGATCCCGGAAGCAAGGTACCTATTTCATGGAAAATGTCGTTGACATTCGTTGCAGATTTTGCTGAGGTTTCCATAAAGAAAAGGCCATTCTCCTGAGCGTAGACTTGTGCCTCCTGAAAAATCCGCACCATGTTAATAACAAGATGATCCAGTATTAAATTTAAGCTACTGCCGCTGCTTCCCTAAAGCCATGGAAATCAGGGCAGGGGCAAGAAACATACAGACGAAGTAAGAAAGAGAGAGAAATAGTGCAGGAGTTCAACAGGTCTAGACACTTGCCTCAGCTGCCACCTTCCTATCATCAAGCAAATCAGCCTTGTTCCCAGCCAGAGCCATAACCATATTTGGATTACCTTCATGACAATGATAAGATATATAATGTGAACAGGTTGGACAAGAAACTGGATTAACACACAGCAAATCAGTACAATGTACAAGAACAAATGTAGACCGTCAGGGAATGCTTAAAAACAAAGCTTCTTCTCAATCCGAATGAGTTTTACATTCAAGCAATAATTCTAAAAGGGGGTTCATAATGAATTAAACAAAACAACAAAAAGAAATATACTGTTAAGGGAATAGAACAATTCCTAATAGATTTAACGAGCAAAAGTTACCTTGTGCTTGAAGTTCTAGCACCCATTTCTTTGCCCGATCAAATGAGGCCTACAAGAAACAACAGAGGTGAAGCCTTGATAACAGCCTAAAAATAGACACACACAATTGCAAACTCGGAACATAAATAAACGAATAGCTTGGAGCAACCGAGGAAAAGAAAAGATGCATACACTAGCAAGCAAAACCTTACCATGACTATTTAGCTAACATCCAACAACTTTTTAATAACAAAGTATATCCAATGAACATAACGAATAAAAAACAATCCAATTCCAGTTGACACTGTCAGGAACAATAGACTGCTACTCACCGGATTCGTAATGTCATACACAATAATTGCTGCTGCAGCTCCCCGATAGTACATGGGTGCAAGGCTGTGGTATCTCTCTTGACCTGCTGTGTCCCATATCTCAAACTTCACAGTAGCATCATTCACAACCAATGTTTGTGAAAAGAAGGCAGCACCAATTGTTGATTCCTAAATAAACACAACAAAATTCAAGTTTAAAGACCAACCATGAAAGATGCAATGACTATGTTATAAATCTCCAAATTATTCCTTGGACCAACCTGAAACTCAACAAACTGCCCTTTGACAAATCGCAGAACGAGACTAGATTTTCCAGCACCAGGGTCGCCAAGGAGAACCTGGATCATATTAAAGTTTGGTTAGGATACATATTTTCAATCGATCAACGGAATACCACTTTAATTTCAAATGCAGCTATATGAAACCTACTTAAGAAGCCGCATTGAGATTAGCTGGACAAACTCAAATCAAACAAAGAAAGGTGAACAACAAAACATATGTTTGAACAACAAACTTTCTTAATGGGTAGAGTTAAGCAACTATAGTGCCAATTGAAACTAGACTTAAGAATAGTGAACTTCCAATCAATTGAGTAAAAAGAACAAAAACCAGAGAGCTGCAGAAGAAATTCCACTGTTCTTGCTACCTTTCCAGGCAAATCAGATTACAGGATGACCCTGTTAGAGATAGATTTGTTCGGGAACTACCCATATACTCAGTTATGAAAGTGGCAGGTAAGAAGGGTACTTTCAATAAGCTGTGCACATGCAGTAGCAGCGAACAGTCCAATGAACTGAATTCGCCGTAGTTAATTCAAGTTTAGCCAAAAAAGAGAACCATGCTTCTAAACCCATCGTGGTGGACATTAACAAGCAAGCTCAAGGAAAGCATAAGCAAGTCATCCGCCGCTTAAAGAGCCCTCGACAACGGAAGGGAACGGCCCAGAAAGTTCAGACCGACAACGACATGCAGTACTGAAAGAATCGCCAGTCAGAAACTGGGAGAAAGAGACAGCTGTATGAGCTCTGATCAGAGATGTATAAGGCGCTAGCTAGCAAAGTCGATCATCAACAGAATGGACCTCCAAAATTGAAATGTAAAATTGGGCGACACGGACGAGATCGAGAAGAGTAAAACATAAACCCACATCCGAATTCAGTATTACCCCCAAAAAGCAGAGAAAGACCTCTCAAAAAGCTATTGTATCAGTCACAGCAAACGATCGGGGCGGCGGCGGCCCTGAATCGGTAGTAAAGCGAAGGAGAAAACCCCCACCTAACAAAACCCACAATTGAAACACGGATGATAAGGAATCAGGACTCACCAATTTAGCGTTGATGTTCTTGTTCCCGGTGGTGGCCATGAGTACTAAGTGGTGGTGGGTTACTCGCGAATCGAGCCGGAAAGATGTCGATTGATCAAAGGAATTGCTGTTATCAAATAAAACAAAAGATCACAGATAAATTCGCTGGCGAGGGTGGCCGGCGTTGATGAGTTGAACGCGGCCTGGGCGACCAACAAACAGCGTGAGAGAGAGAGAGAGAGAGAGAGAGAGAGAGAGAGAGAAAGAGAGATTGAGGAAGAGAAGGAAGCTTCTAACTTTTCTTCGTCTGCTTTCTGAATTGTCTGCAATCAAAGGCTTATTTTGGGTTTGGTTTGATCTCTTTTGTGTATAAGAGATGAGGAGAAGAAGAGGAACCTACAACTACAAGGAAACAATTGGTTTTGGTGTATTTTAGGTTCGTTTCTTTCTTTTCTACGAAATTGGCGTAAAATTAATTTATGTGTTTGTTTATTCGACCTCCGACGAGAAGTTTATTTTTAGCTTTTCTGCCACGTTTATGACGCAACAAAATCCAAGTTTCGACGGCTCCGCCACGACAGTGTGTAATGTCAAATGTGTATTCCTCCACCGCCGTTCAACGCTTCAACCTACCGACGATTACTAAGTACTAACACGGTTGCCGCGGGGGCTCTGAATTTGGTGTACCATAAAAAAATTCCACAGGTTCTTAAATGGTGACGGATGCAATGCATAGCCTTAAAATTATACATAGTTTCATTTGACAAAATGTTAAGCCTTTGGATCAACATAATAGTCTGAGATTAAATTTTTTTTAATCTCCTGATTTTCTTTGTTGAGTTGTGTTATTCATTTTAACGGGTAAATTCCTAAACCATGAAGATCGGCTAAATTACACGTTTGGTCACTCAAATTATACAAATCTTTCACATTTGTCACCCGAATTACTTTTCATTCTTATTCGCCACTAACTTTACAAATCTTTTCACGGTTGGTCACCGGCCGTTAGTTTGTCCTACGTGGCAGTCAACTATAAAGTTTGACCGTTAACTAGATGACGTGGAAATTAAAAAAAAATAAAATTTTCTTTCCACCTCTTCGCCGAATCGCCCTTCACCACCTTCGGCCCCGTCTATCGAGTCAGCGACGGCACTGCACTTCTCATTTTTTTCGTTAATCAATTGACTCTTTTTCATTGTTATAAACGCGCTGCTACGGATCGGGAAATCGCCGGAATTGACAAAGCAAGAACACGAAAGCGAGAATCAAAAACACGACACACGATTTACGTGGTTCACTAATACGATGTGTGTTAGCTACGTCCACGGGCGAGAGAGAGCCGATTTCACTATATCAAGGAGATTACAGATTACAGAGGAGTATGAGAAGTATTTATAGTACTTCTCCATGTGGGTCTAAACCTAATCCAATCTAGCAAAGAAAACGGTTACAGACCAGGCTCAGAACCCGAACCCAAATAACATTGAACCCATACACCGTGGGCCGGGGGCGTTGCCCCGCACCCCCACCGGGGCATTGCCCCTGGACCCCACTCGGTGACCGGGCAGCGAGACCCCCGATTACCAGTCGTAGCGGCTGATAGTCCGATTCAAGTCACATCAACAAATCTCCACCTTGACTTGAATCTTCTTCCTCTGAAATCTCTGATGTACTCTGCTCCTTCTCCCTCTCCCGCCATCAATGCCCCGTAGGGTGGAGTCACCCACTCAAGACATTCAGCAAGTCCAAGCAGTGTTGGAACTTGCCATGTGGAACCGGCTTCGTGAACATATCAGCAGGATTATCCGCGGTGCCAACCTTCTTCACCTTAATCCTCTTCTCTGTCCTCAAGAAATGATACCTCACGTCGATGTGCTCCTCTCATGGTGGACTTGATCCTTGGCCAAGCATATTGCACTCAAACTGTCGCAATACAACTGCCTGATCATGATGTAGACCCAGATCACCAAGTCCCTTCAACCATATTCCCTCCTTAGCAGCTTCTGTCAACGCCATATACTCTGCCTCAGTAGTAGACAATGTCACCGCCGACTGCAAGTTGCCTTCCAGCTCACTACAGAACTCCCAAGAGTGAATACATAACCGGTCATCGATCTCCTCGTGTCAACATCTCCAGCATAGTCCGAGTCAGAATACCCAGACACCAAGCACTCTGTATCACTTCCGAAGCTAATCCCCACATCAGGTGTACCCTTAAGGTACCGGAAGATCCTCTTCACAGCCTGCCAATGCTCCTTCCCAGGTTGTATCATAAACCTGCTGACAACACTAACATATGTGCAAGATCAGGTCTAGTGCATACCATAGCGTACATCAAGCTACCTACTGCACTAGCATATGGGACTCTCGACATGTACTCCTTCTCAGACTCTGACTGCGGTGTATAAGCTGAGGATAGATGAACATTTGAAGCACTAGGAGTATTTAAGGGCTTTGCTGAAGACATGCCAAACCTCGACAATATCTTCTGGATGTAGCTCTTCTGTGACAAGAAAAGCTTCTTCTTCGACCTGTCCCTGTAAATCTCCATACCCAAGATCTTCTGAGCAGCTCCCAAATCCTTCATCTCAAACTCAGCACTGAGAAGCCCCTTTAACTTCTGGATATCAGACTTTGACCTCGCAGCTATGAGCATATCATCCACATACAGAACTAGATATATCATCGAACCATCTCTGCCTTGCTGTGATATACACAACAACTTCTGTTGTAGCCCAGCTCAAGCATGTAGCTGTCAAATCTCTTGTACCACTGCCTCGGAGATTGCTTAAGTCCATACAAGGACTTCTTCAGCTTACAAACATAGTCTTCTTTTCCCGGAACCTCGAATCCTTCTGGCTGAGTCATGTAAATTTCTTCCTCCAACTCTCCATGTAGGAAAGCTGTCTTCACGTCTAGCTGCTCGAGCTCCAAGTCATAATGTGCCACTATTGCTAGTAGCACTCTGATCGAAGTATGTCTGACCACTGGTGAGAAAATCTCATTGTAGTCAACTCCTTCCCTCTGCGAGAAGCCTCGTGCAACCACCCGAGCTTTAAATTTCATGCCCTCTTTAGAAGTGATTCCTTCCTTCTTCTTGTAGATCCACTTGTTTGTAACAATCTTCCTTCCCTGTGGTCGTTTGACTAGCTCCCAAGTCTGATTCCTGTCATGGGATTCCATCTCATCTCCCATTGCGGCAAGCCACTGATCAGCTTCACCACCCGAAACTGCTTCTCTATAGGACTGTGGCTCTCCTGCATCCACTTCCTCAGCAACCTGAAATGAATACGCCATGTCCTCGAAGCCATACCTCTGTGGAGGTACTCCTGCAGTCGCTCTCTTCGGTCTACCGGAAGCAATAGACTGTTAGCTCGTGCACTGGACTCTGAAGTTTCTGGCTCTGCAGAGACATCCTCATCATGTTGATCTTCTCCACCTTGGTGCTCAAACTCACTCTCATTGAGAGTTTGCAGCTCCACCTGCTTATCAACATTCCTGCTACCTTCAACAACAGTAACCTTCAACATGGGGTTAAACATAGACTTCTCATCAAATATCACATTTCTACTAAGTATAACTCGATGCTCAGAAGGTGACCAGACTCGAAATCCCTTAACTCCATCTCCGTAACCCACAAATACACCCTTCTTTGCCCTTGGGTTCAGTTTACCCTCATCCACATGATAATAAACAGGACACCCAAAAACTTTCAGTGAAGAGTAATCAGCAGGCTTACCATACCACACTCATAAGGAGTCTTACACTCGATACCTGTGTGAGGTCCACGGTTGATCAGGAAGCACGCCATGTTTACTGCTTCTGCCCAGAATCTTCTCTCTAGTCCAGCATTAGAGAGCATGCACCGTGCTCTCTCCAACAATGTCTGGTTCATCCTTTCTGCAACGCCATTCTGCTGGGGTGTATCTCTAACAGTCCGATGACGGGCAATCCCTTCATCCTTGCAGAATTCGTTGAACTCAGAACTGCAGAACTCCAGACCATTGTCCGTTCGCAGCTTCTTGATCTTCTTACCGGTCTGAT